TAATTCCAACGTTTATTCAAAAGCGAAAATGTCTAATCGTTCGCGCTTAAACTATTTTGTGAACATTAGAGTCTGGCTTTGATAGGAAATTTGTGGTGGTAAATTAGTATTTGTAAGGATTGGGAACAGATGTCGGCATGGAGCGTGTCACAACGCACGGTCGGCGTATCGGATAAGTGCGCGTTACGCAAATCCGCAGATATGTCGGCCGCGCGGGCGCAGGCGCTTGCACAAGGTTTCGCAGACCTTTGTTTTACGCAACCCGATCGATTTAATAGCAAGTCGTACATTTTCTCAGCCGCGCACTCGCCGCTGAAGAAAACTTATTGTCGATCGCAACCGGCTATTGTAAGGCGCCGGAAATGGAAGACAAAAAATGTGAAATAGATTAGCCGGATCTGCGCGGTTCCGATGTGGCAAAAAGTCGTCCCGCGGCTCACTTCGTTGTGAAATGTTTTTTTTTTGCAATGGCCAGATTTATTTTCATGTTTATATGGATGACGTCGATGTCCGGTGTTGGATTCTCGGAACGACCTTTTGACAAAGGTGATATTCGCAGAGCGATGCACCGTCGTCCGCGTCCGGTAGCCGCGTCCGGTGTTTTTATGACACCGAAAAAGGTGCGAAAGCACTTTATTTATAGCGGTGATCGGTTCGGGTCGTCCTCGTCCGACTTTATTTACAGATTGAGGGAGAGGCGTAGGTAGGCGCAGACGAAAGCGTTCCTGGTCGTTTGACGGCGAGCAAATGCGTCGGATGGTTCGATATTTGTGTATGTATATAGAAGCGTGCCGGGCGTCGGTTCCGCACGGACGGAGGCGGCTGGGGCGCGACATTGGCACGGTTACGCGACCTCCGCGGAGCGCGCGAGGCCGCGCCGGACGCGCCCGAAACGCCTCGCATCCGGCACGCCCGAGCATCGATATACCAATATGCGGACAACAACTCCCCAAGTACCAAGTATCTCTTCGGATGTTGTTAGATTTGCAATCGAACGCTTTCATTACACAATGACAGTAACTCTAACGGTTCCACAAAGTTATACAACTGTCGAAACAGAGAGACGCACGAATGGCTTGCTGGGCGGACGGTATTATGCAAATACGTCGCCGTAATGCGGCTTGCACCACGAGTCTTCGCCGAGGCGTTTCAAAACGTCGGACGGAGGCGCGAGCGCAGGTAGGCACGGGTGCGGGTAGCACACGAAGAGCTCAGCCCGAGGCTGTCGGGACGCGCTTGCGAATTTGCATGTGGAAAGAATGCGAGGCGGTCGCCAGCGGGGGCGCGAGGAAGCGGTGGCCGGGCCGGTATGCGGCGCGGCGAGGCGTCTGCCGCCTCATCGCGGACCGATTTGGCACATCCGCCGACGAGTGCCAGCGCACGCGGATCACAAATACCCCGTCCCGTTAGCGCCGCAGACGACAAAATACGTTCACATCGACACGACAGATTCGCATGTGAAATATACTCTTATTACATACACTAAAGCAAACTATGGATGCTTCGACGCCCTGCAACAGTGCGCCTTGCATTCGATTGCATAAACAAAGTTGGCAATAAAGTGTCCTCGTTCAATCAGATCTCGCTACCGTGTACGCAAAAAGCTCGAGTTTTGTTTTCTTACCTGGAAAAATTCGACGCGGCATAATTATTTTAGCGCGGAGGAGGCGGGATGAGAGCAGACAATACGCTAGGGACAATTTATACCTGAAATGTTTTACAAAGACCGTGTCTTCCGATATACATCGTTTTGGCACCGCTCTGTCTGGGACGAGATCGAATCTATCATCTCTCGATTCATTCATAAAACTTTAACTATATTACAATTTTAAATGGTTCCATACAAAAGCGACTTTCGTCACGTGCGTTTCCGTTCATCTATATCCTGTCGGATACAATAACTAGGTTTGTAAATGAGAACAAAGGTGAGTTTATAAGGAAACATCCGGCTTTCGTGAAAGTGTCGACACAAATCGTTGTACTTGGTGTCTGAATAGATCTTCCAGGAATTAACCGAATTCGTTGTACAACATGTAACGATTCTGTTTGACATGTGATTATCATGGCTCCCCGAGGTACCTGATATTTTGGCCATACACGGACTACTTTTTTTTGTGTCAGGACTTATTATTGTTCAACACGATACTTTGCTCATGCTCATTTGATGACCTCACCAACAATTTGAACATGAGTACTCTGTACTTTATACCTTTAAATTAATAAAGTAAAAGGTAAAATGTAAATCTGAATTGCGATTTTCATATCAAAGGCTTAACTTTAAATTTAATAAAAAAAAATCCTCTCTCGGAACGAAAAAACTACGTACAAGTGTTAAGAAAATCCGCTTCAAAGAGTCAAAGAGATCGCGAAATCAATATTAATGCTTGTTTACCTTTGAGACGACGGCGCGGCACAGCGTGGCGGACTACTCGAATTTATAATCGAAGGGGTCTTTGTGAAGACGTGAGAAATGAGATCCAAGGGCGGGGGACACTTGCTAGTACACCTTAAGCGTCTATTCTCACGATGTCCAGCAGCTGGTCGTCTTGATGCATAATTAGAATAAATTAGAGGTCAGCTGCATGTTTTAACTGACGGTCCGAATCGGTCCCGTCCGCCATTTTGGGATTATGGGAAAGTTGGCAGACTCGACTACCTGAACGCAGCCAAAAATGCGCTAATGACGTATAAAAAATGGTCGTCTCACGAACGAACGTCTAACATGTTATTTAAGTCGAAGCTTGTCGGTGAGAATCTGACGTTTTCGATTAATTTCAGCCGTTTTGTACTTGACATGGATTTCGCGGCAGCCGACGCGTGCGCCTAATTGCTATTATCGTGGGATAGAGCAGTACAATGGTTACTCGTGTAACGTATTAAACAATTACTCACGTCAATGCTTTTTTATTAAATGTCTAGTTCTTACAACTGTTATATTGTAATTGAATAAAAACGAGTGGTCTATATAACTATTTCTCATCAGATCTAAGTTAATTATCGTTATAATTGGGCGATAATTCTAATCATAAGACTAATATGATATTTTTTTAAAAGTTTGAACATGATATTACACATTACTAAAAAAAATGTTGATTACGACGATGTTGTGATACTCGAGCAAGTGTTTCTTTGAGTCTGTGGTCCGTGTAATAACCAAATGTAAAGCATTCCAGCTTTGAGCTGTAACTTCAAAAAGGCTTCCTCAAGTCTCGCCTTTGCGGCCGCGCTGTTACGTAAAGGGTGGAGCAGAAGTTTTTACGTTTCCCGTTCCGCCTCGCGAACCTAAGCTTTTGACAACGTTCGCTTTGATGATGCGCCGCTCGCGCTAGGGGGGGTATTAAAATTTACCTTTTCCCCCCTAAGTCCGTCCTCTCAAAAGCGGACCGAGTTAATACTGTTTCGCAAATATACTACAACGGTCTGTCTGAGTTTCGTTCGTTAATCTCTTCGACTTTCATATCTATATTCCAGTCAAAGGCTTTTTTGAAATTCGAACGACAAATGTCACGAGGGACGAGCATCCACAAAGGTCGTATAGATAATATTACGGTCAAAACCCTGTTCGCGGGGGCGTAACGAAAATTGTCTCGTCGGGTTATCCAAGGAGAGTGGAATACACGATGGGCCGTCGCCCGGAACGGAGGACGACGACCGAATTTATATACGATCCAATTTAGAACGATACGTGGCTTGTATTTAATTACTTTTGTATTCAGAAGCACAATACACATAATTATGTATGAAATTAATAAGAAAAAAATATAAAAAGAATAAACAATCGAAAGGGTTGGTATGCGGGACAGGTGAACGATGTAGTTATAAAAAAAAAACTAAAGGTATTTTATCGTTAAGGCACGAATAAAAGGGTGCGTGCGTCGTTAAATAACTTTCTCGAATCACCTGATCGTATAAGGGTGGCAGGTACCCGCATAATGTAAGAGGGGTGGGTAGTCAGCGCGGGCTCAGCGCGGGCGCGTCGCGGGCGCAACACACCCTTGACCCGATTGCGGCGCAGCAATGACACCGCTCGCCTTGAGCCGTAGCATTGCCGGAGATATTTGCAACAATGGAGGCCAGATAACGTTACAAAAGTTCGAAAATCCGCCGGCACCTACCGCACCGCGCTGCCCGCCTGTAATTAATAACCGTTGGGCAACACTGTGCTGTGCGCGATTGTCCTATTGCATTCAACGTTTACTTTGCATCGAGTACGTAATTCTACATTACATTATTATAAATGTGTTACTATTTACATTATTGTGTTTACAGAAATTACATTTACAAATAATACTTGCAATGACACTTGTGAGATTCTTTTAAATATCTAAATAATGTGGCATATTAAATTAATTTTTCATTTTACGACTTTGATACAATATTCTTTTTTCACATAAATTTTTGTCAGTAACAGAACTTAAAAGGTAGCAAATTGGTACGCGACAAGCAGCCCGGCGCCGATCCGCCTCCGCTAACAAGCGGTTATCGACACATGTTAATTGGAATAATATATTCCTTCGATAACTTTATCGCAGTCGTACGTGGCGCTATCGAAAAACAAAGGAAATGACGCGCTACTTAAGACACGAAACGTTTCCGCTGCGCCTTCCGACATTTTTATGGGCCCTATATAGATCTTTTTCTCACGATATATCCGCGTGGGCGCAGATAAAAACAAAGGAAGTATCCCGTTGAATGTATCGATTACGTAATAATACGTTAATTTTGTTACTATTGAAGTTTATGTTGGAACGTGCATTATGTGTACACGGAGCGAGCGTGCGTCCGCAATCGAAAATCGCGCAATTCAGTTTCCCTCGTAAGTTACTTAATCGAGGCATAGATCTGGGGCCGAGGCTAGGCGCGTTGCGAGCGGGAGATATCGCTGCAGGACCGTTGCGTCAGTTATTTCACTGGCAAAATTTAGTACACGGCAATTGGCAGATACCGATAACGTTAATGAAACATTATAAAATATTTTTAATTAGTTAAACTAGACTCACCTTTGGGGATCTGCGAACACGAACTTTCTGAGCTTGAGATCTCTTAGTACGATTCCTTGTTCATGGCAAGCAGCTACTGTTTCTGCCATTTGTCTGAAGAGTCTGCGTGCCTCGTGTTCTCGTAGCCTCTTCCGCGCGCGCACATACGAGTGGAGGTCTGAGTGAGATCTTGGGAAGATGAGGTACACCCTCTTGTCACCGACTAGGACCTCATGTATGGGGTTGACGTGCGGATGTCCGTCCAGCCGGTAGTGCGCTTGCAGCAAACTACTGCAATCGCGGGACACCACCTACAAAGCGGTACAATGTTAAATGCAATCCTACGGATAAAAACAGCTAATTCATAATGATTTAAAAAAGTACTCAGTATTTTATTTGTGAATACATACTGGTACATATTAAATGGGAAGTAGTTATATAAATATACTACAAACAAAACTAGTAATTCGCAAATGCCAGTCATTCAAATATTAAATCTATTTAGAAAAGATCGTTAGTCGAATTCGTTCCGTAGCATTTCAAAGAAACTTGAATGAATGTAACCCTCTTTTAAATACACTCCGTATTTCAAACCTGGCTAAATTTTGAAAGGGCTAGATCTAATGCGTATAACGAAACTTCAATAATCACTAAATAGAGCTCCGTTGACGTTCCAACTGTACAAATGGTATTTAACTAATGATTGTTTAGGAAATGTGTTAAAATATTGTATAGGTGTTAAACAAAGAAGTATGCTCATGGAAATTGGTGTAATAAAAATAATATCTTGTTATAAGTGAATATTGCATATAAAATACGTGATTGATAAAAAAAATACGGTGAGAATTAAATGTTCTTTGTTTGTACGAGGACTGCAGAGACAATGCAAAGGTATTAAGTATTACGAAGATATTTTTGTATCTGATAAATTGAAACAGTTTTAATATATATCTGTATTTTGCATCTGTTGCACTGTATTATGTTATATTTCGTTAGAGTTTCTACACAACTTATTTTCAAGTCGAATGAGAATGCTTGCATTATACTTTGTACGAATATTTCGGCAGTGTAAATCTACGGTTATATTTGTATTAAGTAACTCTTTGAAAATCTAAATAACAGTTGGCACTGGCCAATTTTGTTTTTAATTTTAATTTATGAAGCTATCTAAAATTGTGAGCAGTACATCGGGTATTTCCGAACGGGCACGAAATGTCAACGACATTTTGCCGCGAATTTGAAATTCGATTTTCCGAATGTCGAACGACGAATTGTATCGCGTGCATCATGAAATTTCATTTTTAAATCGTCTACGTATAAATAAGTGTGAGTTATTTTAGTGCAGACCTTCACAGAGCAATCTACAGAGAATTTATATGTATTTTAAAGTACTAGCTCACTAAAATAAATCGTGACCTATTTGTGAGTTTGCGTAAAAATTGAAAACGATAAGAATTCGCAACGTTTGCTGTCTACTTGATAATATTTGGCCACGAATACGATCTACGGCAGCTAACCTACATAATGACTGTTATCAATATTTATTTAAACGCCTTGTTGCGAAATGTCTACCTCGAAAAAGGATTCGCCCAATAACAAATACAATTTCTACATCAAAAATATAAGTTGTATTCGATTTTTGAAATTACATTTTTTTTAAAGTGTCATGTTTAGTATATTTTAATCAAAATGAAAAATAAATGAATAAATATTCTTTAAAGTCGTTTGGTATGACATATGCGTAGTCGTAGTTAGTCAACATATTGTTTTCAACATTCGAGTGTGCGAGGCACCGTTCACCAAGCAATGCCACAATCCCAGATTAACCGTGCAAGAGTTTCGATTGTTAGTACATTCATTACGATATTGACAATATTTTAACATTTAAATAGCTCTATCGCACAATTCAAGTTCCATTACTAATAGAACTCCGCTATTCAAAACAAGTTATAGAACCGAACGAGCAATGTAATCAAAACAATGTTATGTTCTTGTTCGCTCAGTTGTTTAGTAGAGGGGGCATGTTAGGAGGGGGCCCGCTAGCCTCGGTGTGACATTCGGCGATCGGTGCGTTATCATGTCTATTTCACAATGTCAATGAGAAGGTCATGCTTATTTTCGGCGGGCATGAATAGATCCACGTGTGACTATCAATTTAAAAATCAATCATGCGTTTAATGCAGTCTGATATTGTAGTGAGGGAATATTGTGATGACGAATGTATCGAAAGAGAGCAAATTGCGCAGGCTGTGTCTCGATGCTTTTACACATGTGGCATAAGGCAATACGAATGTAGCCGCTCGTGTCGGCAACACGGTGTTGTAAATACACTGAGCGTTTAGCAACGATATCGTTGCCACATTTAACCTTGCCAAGTTCTCACGAGGGAAGTGTCTACTTTGTGCCTTGACAATACCTGTATGGGCCTTTGTTAGCACTGGAACTAAATATCCTGTATTGCCTAAAATCATAACCTACCTAAACTATATGAGGATGTTTGAAATAAGGTTTCCCAATACACGGCTTTGTTAACTTGTGTGATTCAACTGAGGCGGACAGATTTATTTGGTCAAATGAGTAATTTTTGTTTCATCTTCCTTTACCAACCACTTTATTTACATTTTATGATTTACAGTAAATGTTAAATGAAATCCCTCCCTTTGCTTTTTATTTAAAACTATATAAAAATTATAGTCTCTCTACAAGTCAGAATCTAATTTTATATTACGTTATAATGATACTTCTACAACTGTAACCGATCTAAATATGTTCATTAGGTGTGATATTACAGTTAATTGTTAAACAATTGCGAAATCAATACATGACATTGTAAAAACGACGATGAATCGGTGGCCTACAAGTGCGATCAAGTAGCGCGGGGCCATGACATATAAACTATGACATCGATTTTAAAACATTGACGCTATTAACAATGCACGCGAAATAAAAAAAACAATGAAATGTCATGTTGACAATGCATCCGTCAATGTCACATGTAGAAACAGATTAAAATCAACAAATACAGAAAAAAGTATGTGTGAAATCTATACTTTCGATTATCTATGTTCATATTCCCACAGATAAATAATAAAAATGTAATTTTTGAAATTAATGATTATTTTGCAAGCAAAGGTCGACGGTATGTGGGCTCATTATACACAACTGGGCTTATCTCTCCATGGGGTCTCAATCCCGTGGGATAAAACGAACCCTTCCAGATTTGCCGGATGTTTAAGTTAGCGTGAAGTGAACTACGGCTACAATTTTAATCATTTGTAATTATTAAAAGTGGAATGGACTGGACATAGAACAGATGTTAATCTATTTATGTCGTTCCACATAAATATTTTTAAATAAATAAATTAAAGAAATGTGAAGGTCTTTTTATTTTATCGATGAGAAGATTTAATTGCGTCTTTGTAATGTAATGTGTTAATTATTATAGTGGCATATGATTATGGATTTGCTCAAAGATGTATGTCAAACAGACTAATAATTCTTTTAGGTTCTATGTGGGCATTTGTTTTACGATTTTAAGCCTTAATTTCTCATATAAATCCGACCTTTTAGCTACTAAACTACAACGATTCAACTTTTTTCACTGTTATATGAAAAATTACGAACAAAAAGTTAATTATGAATAAAATTAATTTAATTCTTGTTTATGAGCTTATTGTTTCGACCATGTTACAATAACACTCCTATTTTACGAAGTTTTCAAAATAAAAAACGACCAAACAAAACACACATTGTAACAATGACTATTTCAGCCTTTTGACATTGAAATATTTTACAAGTTAGATTCGATTTAGCAATAGCTGTAAATTATTTAGTGTCGCTAATTGGCTACTTAAAAAATTGTTCCGTAAGGTCGAAAGAAGACAAGAGATTACACACTGTATCAATCAAACAAAACTGCGCAAGTCTGTTGTAAGCTGGCACAATTTCGACACGAGCCGTTATGTATCCCAGTCATGTCGACAATGCGATGACAGATCGCTGTTTTGGACAATGACTAAAGACTTAAAAATGACAGGTGTGAATATTATCATGATTCAAGATTTGCACGTATATTTGGGTAAGTATCTACCGATGCCGTATTGGTTATGAAATGCTAGAGTTTGATATAATTTTGCGAGTTGTAATTTATGAGTGTTGTGTATAATTATTTGGCTGTGTTAACTTACTTTACAAACATATTCCTCTTGTGTGCGCACGTCCACACATCGACAAAGCGAGGAGCCCTCCACTTGTTCCAACAAGAGATATTTCTCGGCCACTAGGGCCGCTTGGAACTGATGTTGGAGCGGGGCAGGGCTGCTGGGAGCGGGACTCGAGGGCGAAGGCGCCGCCGATAACCGCTCCACCAAGCTCGGGGACTGCGCCCTCTCCTCAGTTTTGCTGTGCTCACCCGAAGTAACCGGCACGGTCACCGCAGGCTTGCTCAAGCGCAATGGCCACAGCAACGAAGGCGATCCCGGATCCATCACAACACACAACACTGTTCACTGTCACGATACACTAAACGAAACGTTCACAAAACACGCACAAACAAACACTTAAAACGAAGAGGAACTATGATGTGATGAACATGATCTGTAACAAAATGAATAACATTTTAAATGTGAACACAGTCAAAACAAAAAATCTACAATCGTAAAATTAGTCGACGTTTATTATGAATAAATTATTAAAATACCCACAAATATAGTACGAACCTTGAAATGAAACGTCCTGAGTGGATATCGTACCAAAATTTGACTGTCCGTGGCGGCGAATATCGCTTTAATTCTTGTTGAATTACAGGATTTATTTCCGTAGTAATTCGAGCAAGTTTAGACAGGCCAATATTTTGGGCCGGTGTCCGCTCGGGTTATTGTTAAAACTAAACGAACACACGACCGACTCTGACTAACGCCATTGCGAGACTGACTGAGAGTAGCGTGACGAGGTGACGCGGGCATTCGGAGGATTCGGCCTGAGCCTCGCGCCGGCGGCGACCGAGCCAACGTCCAATGTCGACACACCGTCGGCTTGCGTAGTACGCGACTGTACGCCATGCGGTTTGCAACTGAAACAACTACTCGCTGCCTGTCTCTTTCTATCATACGCTTTAAATTCTCTTTGGAAAGGGAAAGAAACAGACCATTCATTTACGTTTGGCAATGCAATGATGTCAAATGTGTTGTTTCAATATTTTTCACAACAATAAATTTAACAACAGAAATAGGTAATTGCATTTAACTAAATGTAATATAAGTTGTGAAAATCTTTTATGTCGAGAGTATATTACTGATTTTATTTTCAAACTTTTCGTATATTAAAGTAAATTAAACAAAAATTATAATTTCAAGTCTCTTAATATAGTCGCTGCAAGCAGTTGAGCAAGACAGAAAATGCTATCACAATCAGATTGTTACGGACCTTATCTGTTATCAGGATAAAATTCAGGACAGAGATCGGAAGGACCTTATATTATTAAGGCAAGCATAATTTCAAAATCAACGCAAAAACACATTTAAAAAAACATCTCTGAAATTTTTCCAGTTGACTGTATGTAGCTTTTAGCATACTGCAAAGAATATGGTATAAACAGCCGTTAAAAAGTTTTTTTTTTTTTAAATTTTAAATTTCTCCAAAATCAATTATTAACGAATTAGGATAAAACCAGTTTCTTAATATAATGAAAACAGATTTACTTATATTGCAAGTAAAAAATATTTTGCAATAAATTGCAATTCGTCTAATGTACAATACTTGGGCAATTTTGAGTATTATTAATTCGCTTCCATACGTCTGATATGGTATACTATTAAGGTTATTTTAAAATAATTACCTTGTGGAATATGACGATTTTACTTCAAAAAAAAAGTAACGTCACAAAAAAGACTAAAGATTAAATGTTATTGCGCAACATTTAATTAAAAAAAAAACATTTTTTTTTCTGCGATCCTTATGAAAAAACCTACCGAAATTCTAATACAGAGTGATTAACATTTTTATAAATTTTCCATTACAGGTACAAATCTGGTATGATTTATTGCACTCCCTATATTTCGATAAGGACTTCTATTTAGGTTTACTTTGTACTTCTACAAAAGTAAGTTCACAATCTCCAAGTAAAATGCTGGATAACTAACAAATAAATTAATTGCCACAAAATACTTCCTGCAAAATATTTTGCGATTTACTACTAATTTGTAAAAAAGCAACGATAATTTTGATAAATAAGTGCCAAGTATCTTATTGAGGACTTTCTTGGATATTGTGTAACAGGCCTTAAGTTTTGTTTAAATAAAGAAAGAATTAATTATAAATTATTTCAACGTATCACTTACCAAACTAAATATATCAGCAATTTTTCCAAAAAAATCTTGAAAAGGAGAACGAACCAACTCACAGGACGTTTTCCATCCAACTGAATGTATAAAAGATGTCACCATTCATTTAACGCTAAACAATATTGAATTCTATTGCGCAACAATTACAGTCGAAATTAATTTTAATAATAACCTGAAAATATGACTAACAAATATTCAAAACGATTTTAATAGAACGTTCTAGAATAACAATCGTAATTTTTAGGTTAATTTGATGAATGTATAATTTGTACTAAACTTAGAATTAATATTAATAGCTTTATACATAAAAAATATCAACAAAATTTATTTTTGTTGCTTGAAGTTGAACTTGAAGATTTAATTTTTTTTTACAATTTAAATTATTTTTAGTGTTATCTGTATCCATTAGTTTATCAGTTTACCTTTGGCCAGTTTTAAGTTTACAATTGTCAATTTCTTTTTAAATACGCAGTTATAATACTTTTCTCGTAGGTAAACGTAATCTATAAAAAGGTCTTAATGTTTTGCCCAGTCATTAAATAATTCCGTAATTTCTTCAGCGATGTGTCAGCCCTTTACACAGAAACATGACAAGTCAGATCAGATCAGGACTGAACATGTCAAAATTATTGTGCAACTGCAAATGCTTGATTGTGCTAGATGCAGTAGATAGTTGCACAATAATTAAGTAAAGAGATAAATATAGGAGTCCACGTTACATAAAAAGCAATTAAAAAAACAAATAAATATTGACATCCCTTTCATTATCGATGGAAAACATAGAGACAGAACATCCAGTTGTCTTTGCAACCACATTGTTTTTCATTCTGCATCACTTTCTGTTCGGTTGCTGAAAAATTCGTTCGTAATAATGTCGTACGTCACAATAATGAACTTAATTTCATACGCAATATAAAGGTAGCATACAGAAATAACTATTGGGTAAATCAAAATGCGTTATATGACTCCAGCAAGATCACTACGTCACATTTTAGCTTGATGTTATGAATCGTATCCGATTAAGTTGTGCAAGAAATGTTTCCTAAGCTTCTACGTCACGGGAGGTAAAGGAAAATTTTACGTCCTAGGATTGTGTATAATTACCAGCAAACCGTTGTGCAATGCCATGGATTTCTCTAACAGGGCGGTGACGGCTACGTCATCGTACGACGTCATGACGCATTGAAAATTCAAACAGAATTATTTTGTGCTATTGTTATGCGTTTACTATTAGATAATATTAAATAATTTAAATTAAAAACGGTAGGTACTTAGAGGCGAAATTGAACAAAACATTATATCAAATAGAACCTACATTTGTCATGTGTTATCTGTGGTCTCTTGGTCTTGTCTTTGTTGTAATTCTGCTCCACTCATCTTAGTCAGGAAGACATCTTTATTATAAAATAACGGAATAATCACTTAAAAGTTCACGCATAATTAAATATATTGTTAATTAAATAATTATCTAGAATGATAGTCATCAACTAAGGTTTTTGTTAATTACTTTTTTTTATTTATAACCCTTTATTATCTTGTTTTAATCTCTTCATATATTTCATACAATATTTCCTCCAGTCACGTTTTTAATTGTAAATCTCTTTTGAATTTACGTCCCACTAAAAGCCATAAAAGTTCAATTTTGAATGCGAGCTAAATTATTTTCCAATGTTCCACTAACTTTGAACAAAGCCGAATCGTCAATTCATTCTATACAAATTTTGAGTCACGTGTATTCGAGTCTTTAGTAAAACCGTAAAAACTAATTTCTCTAACGTTCTTCCAGTTTGTACTTATTCGACTTTTTGTTTGGACTTTTCAATGATCGCAAGACGTATTGTACTTTGAATAACAGAAGACTTCTTTTGTTTTATGTAGAAATTTTTGTTCATTGAATTTTTCTTGCTTCATGCGTCACGTTTTTCTTTACTTTTCTTTAACTGTAATTAAAGTCTTTAAACCATCTTTTATAAAGAGTTACAAATACTTTTAATCCAGAGTGGAAAAATTTGCTCATAATATTGAATTTTACAATTGTCCGGATACCCGGATTATTCGGATCAAACTTATAATTATGATTTCCGTTAATAACTCGTATTATCTTGCATATTACTTTGCGGAATTCCGCTTACGTCATACTGAGAGGTCAGTGTAAACTATATTAATATTATTAAGTTCTTCATTCTGACTAAATGACGGCATAAATATAATTATTTTGTTTTTATTTTTACTAAAACTAATTTAATATTTCTTTCAATAAAATCTGATAAAGTCGAATTTTACAATTTTGTTAACATGTATTTTCTAGTCAAACCCCATCATGTGATATTTGGGTTTTGACTAGAAAACTTCAGGTCCTGGGTTCGAAATGTCCTGTATACTTATGCGACGTATCGTATAGTGAGCCGATGATGATCCTTTTTTTAACCGACTTTCAAAAGGAGGAGGTTCTCAATTCGTCTGTACGTTTTTTTTTTCGATTTGAAAGATTTCGAAAGAATATCAAAAACAGAACATCATTGTGTTTTCAAAGAAGTATATTAAAATTGACAACTCAATAAAAGCAATAAAATTAGGTTCACTTCATCATAAATATTTAAAAGTTAGCTGGTAGAGGGCGCTCTTCCGCAGTCATAAATCCCGTTACGCGTGAATCATCTTTACCTGTGCAGTGGACCGATGAGTCAGGCTTTGTTCGCTCCCGAATGTTGATTCCTGCATTCCCGGGATATGATGCACGGAATACTTAAAAAAAACACGTTTATTAGAGGCCGTTGATGTCACCAAACCTCCTATAAACTCCTTTGTAGGGATTATGTAATTTATACAAACAATTGGATTATAATATCCCATTTACCTGAAAGTTGGTGAAAAAACCTTTGATATAAGTTACCTGGGTGTTCATTGAGTGTTTACCTTTAATTGTGACAGGATTATTGCAAAATAAATGACAATTTTGAAAACAAAACTCTAACAAATAAGAGCTTTTGTATTCAATAGTCATTCATTGTAAGGAAGGACGTAAAAGGGAAATTTTTTAATTAACACAGGTATTATTATGGAATTTCATTCAAGAGATATTGTTAGGTGCATATTGTTTTAAAATATTGTTTGTTAGTTTGTTTGTCTTGTTATTTTCTTATTGTGAATTAATCTTTACAAATACGTGTATATATTTTCAGGTAATCATTGTTAAAGACATGAATTGTTTTTTGTAATATGTAGCATCTAAAAGGTTGGCCATAGCCATACTGCATACAGTTTCTATAGTGTTTGGGATATCCTTGGATATTCGCTGTTTACTTCCGTGTTCCCGTCGCTCGTTTGCCTACAACTTACAAACGTTACTTTCTACTAATATTATAAATGCGAATGTTTAGATGGATGAATGCATGGATTTTTATTACAGGATCTTCAGAACGGTAGTACTGTTCTCGCTAAAAGGCATAGATGTAGAACATCTGGAAGAACACATAAGCTACTTACAAAGTTTTGTTTTTAATTCCGCGCGGAAGGAGTCGCAGGCAAAGCTAATCTCTTATAAAATAATACTCCACTCTTCACTCGTATTTGTTACGGAAATTGATACAAGTAACGTTTGAATTATTTAAAAAAATTTGCCATCTTAGTATGACTTCCTTGTTTAA